TCTAAAAAGTAAAACTCAGTGGCCCTATTATCACCACCTAATTAAATGAGTGATTGCAAGTTAAAAATTCTAATATATTGATTTAGATCGACCTAATAAAGTTTTATTTGGCAAATCGGCTCAGCTTGAGAGAGCTTTTTATTTGAGCCATGTAGAGGAATAGCATGATACTTATTATGTGTTTGGCTGTAAACTACATTGTTGTTTGTATGTATTAAACTGGATAAATATTAATAATTTAGCAGGGTACGTGAATGGCCCATCTTATTGCCTGATCTTTGTTTCCAAGTTGCCCCTATGGAGAGCGACTACTTGGATCAAAATTCTGAATTCTTCCATTTGTGTGGTCGACAGATAAATAATGAATTCCAGAGAAAATGTCCAGACTTGAACATTGCACATCAAAAATGATGGATGTAGTCTCATCAAGGACAGGAGCTACAGGAGTGGCAATCAGACATATAAAAGACATGCTTCTCTAGGTTTGCAAATTATTAGGCTTATGTTATGTTATGTTATGTTATGTTATGTTATGTTTACTTTCTTTTGATCCTTTTTTTCACTTTTCTTAAATAGCCCAATACAATTGAAGTACACAGAGATGTAGCTATCCACTGCCTTGGAGAGAAGGAAGAGGACCGTTTTTAGGGAGTTTAGAGTAAGTAATTCAACATCTTGAAAGAAAATGAAATCCACATTGGACAGTTTAAATTCACAGGGCCGAAACCTGCTTATGGTCCATTAAAGGTTTAAGTATATTTCTCTTCTGGCCATACCCCAATCTGTAATATCATAACAATGGTCTGTTCAGATAGGTGTTGACAGCAATGGCATGGGAAAATACTTTCAATGTATTAATAAATCAATGTATTTTTTCTTTTAATCTGCTATACAAGGACACAGAAGTGTTTGAGGCAGGCCTCAATAGACATCTGATGAAAACTGCTGCCATCGGTGACCGGTCCACCCCAGAATCTGACCATATGACAGCAACCATCCTGGTTGAGGGAACCAAAATCCTGGAGGGCAAGGATATCCCAAGGTGCTGTGGTTTGCTGACGGGAATCTGAGCTAATGGAACTTAAATGTACATTGATAGTGACAGTCTGCTGCTGTTTGTTACAGTTTTTGTAAATTTATATTAGGTCTTTCCTATAATGTGTAAAAAAGACTGCCGGACCTTGAGAAGATTGGTGGCCATGTATGGGACAATTTAAATTTGTGTTGTTATTGTTTTCTAAGTTTTAATATTGTGTGTTCAAACACTGTTAAACTGCAGTTCATAATAAAAACAGTTCATTGCCAAACAGTTTTGTTATCGAATTAATTAATTTCTCACATAAACACAATTTTAAAATGTGGGTCAACATAAAAAACATTATTAAAGTTATTAAGTACATGACACTTCAAAATTCCTTTTAAATAATGTGGGAAAACTATTTGGAACAACTTATTTTTATGAGTAATCAACTTAAAAACGTGTGTTTATGCTACCAATTATTAAGTAGGTGGTAAATAAAAATACCTTTCATTGTAGAGGAAAAGTTAATTTGCCTTACTTAATATAGTTCATTGGTTAAACATAATTTCATCTGCCTCAGGGAAGCCTGTGAAGAGCCTCGGTCGATGGTCTGATGCCTCCCTCAAAGACAAGGAGCAAGTAGATCAGCTCAGGAAGGACATAACCAGTGGCCTAGAGAACATTGACAGAACCCTGCTTCCTGCAAGCTGAAGCTCTGGTGCATACAATTTGGGCTACTTCCACGCCTCATGTGGCCACTCACCCTGTACGAAGTTCCAATCTCAAAGGTGGAAAAGCTGGAGAGACTGGTTAGCTCCTATGCAAGGAAGTGGCTTGGTCTTCCCAAGTGCCTCAGCAGTATTGGGCTCTACGTCAAAGGAATTTTAGATCTGCCCATTTCCAGTTTATCTGAGGAGTACAAGTGCGCCAAAGTAAGACTGGAAATTATGCTATTGGATTCAGGCGATCCATTTGTAGCCCAAGCTGCCCCCATCCTGGCTACTGGGAGGAAGTGGACCCCATCGGCTGCAACAGAGCAGGCAAAAGCAACTCTCAGGCATAAGGACATCGTGGGCCAAGTGCAGCAGGGGAGGAGTGGTCTGGGTGGAACAAGGCCACTCCGTCCCAAAGACTGAAATCGCGTCCACCAACCTGCGACCAGACCTTGTGCTGTGGTCAGCTTCGCTCAAACACATGTACATCATTGAGCTCACGGTCCCCTGGGAGAGTGCAGTAGAGGAGGCCTACAAGCGCAAGAAGCTGAGGTACACGGAGGTTGCAGCCGATGCACAACAACGAGGCTGGACAGCGAGGGTCCGACCAGTGGAGGTAGGCTGCAGAGGGTTTGTAGCCGCCTCAACATCCAGGCTACTCTGGGAGATGGGAATGCGAGGGAAGGCCCATCAGCAGGCAGTCAAGGACCTCTCCAGAGCTGCTGAAAAGGGGAGTCAGTGGCTGGGGATAAAGAGGAAAGACTCCACCTCAAGTGAGTAGATGGGATCTAGGGTTTGAACCTGGGACGCTGGGATTCACTGCTGAACCCTCTGGAGGTGACGTGGGCCTATCAGCGAAACATCTAGGAAGGAGGGCGCCCACTTGATAACCCAGAGGATGCCATCACTCACTTGACCATCCCACAGAGTCTTAGTAGTGTCTCAGGAATGCAATAAGGGATATCAACATCTAGTCCTACACAACAGATCTGATCACCTGTGTTGTCACAACTCAAAATGATAGATGGAAACTGTTGTGTTAATTTTCTTTGTTGAGCCAAGACATTTGTTTTTAGAGTGTGTGTGTGTGTGTGTGTGTGTGTGTGTGTGTGTGTGTGTGTGTGTGTGTGTGTGTGTGTGTGTGTGTATTTATATTTCTTCTTCATGATTATTTCCTCTTTTGTTCTCTGGACTTTCTTCTCTTCTGAGTAAACCTCAGAATATTCTTGAACTGGTCGTCATTACGAGATAAAGTAAAGTGCCATAAAAACTGTCTTTAAGTACAGTACTTGAGTAAATGTACTTAGTTACATTCACTGGTTATTGCCTTCCATGTAGTCCTGTGGACGGCTCATTGTGTCAGATTTCCAGATGCTGACTTCAGATTTGTGAATGAGGTATTTGGTACCTAAATGACCAACATTCAGATTATTCGTAGCCTAGGTTTTTCCTAGTGTGTAGTGTTCACTGGAGAATTTGACTTTATAGGCTCAGTTAACTATTTGTTCACGGCTTTGTAGAGTTTCTTACCTGGATTTTGCTTGGAGAGATTTATAGTTTTGTGAAGTGGTGCGGAGTTTTCACTTGTAGGTTGTAGCAACGTTCCCCTTTGGGTTCGTTGAGCTGTTTTTGTGTAGTGTTGTAGTGTTGAACGTGGCTGAAGCTTTGCTTGGGAGCATGTCTGTGGTTTCGGGAGGGTTGCTGGTTCGCTAGTTGCTCTCCTGATCCAGAGGTCTCCAGTGCGTAAACACCCACCACAACTAGCTATATGAAGACTAGGGGGGAGGTTAGTTAGCCGGGTTGAGGATTATTCCTCTTTGTGCGCACAGGTGAACGGCTTTGTGTCTGTCTGGTCCTTTAGCGTGTGTAAAAGTTGATTATTGTCCCACTTTATAACTTCTACATCTCATACTGCTCACACACTCACATCTACAGCACTGATGTTACTGATAAACACACCTCAGATGTGCACTTATTAATAAATACATGATCCATGGCCTTGGAGCCGAGTTATGACAATCTTAAAAAGTCTAGTTCCCCAAAGTCACATTTTTTATGTTTGAATAATTGTTTCCATTTCCTTTAGTTTCTATAAAGACAAATGGTTCATATTCTGTAACACTGAGGCCACAGACGTTGCTCCATCTGTTCTTCAGTTTGAAGAAATCAGTGACACAGCAGTTTGTTACGTTGTTGAGTCAAACACTGGACACAGCGAACATTTGAGGGCTTTATTTAGCAACTGCTAACACTGATAGCATCCACGTTTCACCTGCAGCCGCTGTACTTCTCCACCTGTTCCTCTCTACTTCTCTGTCCCTCATTCTGCAGTCCTCTTCCACTCTGTACACAGTCCCACAGAGACACCTACTGGTCAGGAGGCGTAGCTACCGACAGTAACAGTGGACAGCAGAAACATCCATGTCCAATTCCTCTGTTTGTGAACACAACACAGTTGGACTTTCATTTCATGTTCATTAGTGCACATTTTTGGGGTAACACAAGTGTAATGTGAACTATCACAGCTGTGTTGTCACTTTGAATGACTCAGCAAACCTCATGGTGAGCATGCTGACAAATGATGAGGCTAGCATTTTATGAATTATCAAACTATTTAAATACTTTATTTTGTATTTGGATCCAAATTAACTTCTACAAAGTGGCTGCTGGTCTTCCTGGAGTTCACACAAAAACTATGATTTTAAAAACAATTTAAAATGACACTGTATCAATAAAACAAGAAAAATCTAAAGATCAGAAGATAAATATAGATTATAGTAACCGACAATGGAAACAAAACCAAAATTGACATAAATACACTGCTGTTAAATAAACACTAATTTATTCAAACATTTTATTATTCTTCCATCTACTAAGGCAAACAGTTTTTATTGTATTTATTAACCGTAGATGTTGGATTGGAGATAAATCTTGTTGTAAATAAATGTTTTGGAGCTTTAGTTACTAGTTACTTTACAACAGGAGAGTTTATATCATATACAGAGACTTTACAAAATATGATGTTTTATTATAAATGTAATTTAAAATGTCGATTAACAGAAAATAAATATATGGACGGCAACTAATATAATAATATGATATATAACAGTTAGAAATAAGCTCCACCTCAACAAACTATGACAGTAAAAAGCTGCTTTTCCATTAATACATGAGTAACTATAGTCTGATGATATAATATATAATAGTATTGTTGGGCACATTAAACAAACTGCCATTAACATTTTCCTTATTTATTAATTTATTTTAACATTACATATATAAAAATAAAATTGCTCCAAATTCTGTATCCTGTACTGAGATTGTTTAACAGGCTGAGACTTCATTTAAACTACATTTCAGACACACTTAAGAGTAAAATGTCCAGTTTCTGCTGGTTTCTCACAAATACTTCTGTGACTTTCCTTGCAGGATTCATCAAACCAACATTTCAGATCAGGAGCTCCTGCTCTCTCTCCCATCCTCACACAGTCCTCTCCATCAGGATCTTTCCCTGTCCAGTTATCTGGCTCATCGGGGAACCAAAATGTCAAACTAAGAGTTAGAGAACAGAAAGAAAATGGTTCAATAAAACTGATGACTCAGATTTTGGAAATTGTCAAAAGAACATATTTATAACAGTCAAACCTCTCGTTCAGTGGTGAGCCGTCTACCCATGACCATGTGCCCTCTTTCCCTGAGTCTGTCAGTCCGATCCAGAACTTGTCCCAAATGTTGTTCATTTTTTCTCTTAGTTTCAGCTCCAGGAATGTCTGGACAGGAAAAGTTGATGAAGAACACAATATGTAACATGACTTTTCTGTGCTGAGAGACCATGTTAACTAATGTGGAAACACAAGGATGTGATAAAACAAATGAGAATAAAGCCAGTGAGCTACATGAACCTGCAGCAGTGTGTTTTACCTGCTCCTCTCTGCTGTCTATCTGAACCAGATCTCCTCCTTTCTGTCGGCATTCATCTCTGCTCTTACTCCAGGTGAAATAATTGGTGGAGAAATAATAACACTGTCTTCCATGCTGCTCCCAGCCATATTCACATTTTGGACATGAGTCATCTTTGAAGAGATCACAGTAAAGACTTGAGTCAGGTGAAACAGATCACTGTTTATATTTGTGTGATTTGGAAGCAGCAGGAACTTTGAGATGAACGAGTTTGAATCTGAGAGCAGCTGAGACAATCAGACAGAGGCAAACAGTTTTCTACTTCACAGGTATATATACTGCCAATCTGACTTCTTGTATCTGTCAATACATCACTGGTTCTTTAATCATCATCAGAGGATGCACACATGGAAGAAAGGCAAAATCCATCACTTTCTTTCTTTTACTACAGGAGGTTGTGGGCTGGTTTGCTGCACCGTGTTGCATGATTTTACTTCACAGCGTCTCTCTGGTAAAAAAACAATTTCACTTTCAATATCAGGGTCCACCTGTCAGGACTGAAAACAATCCAGTTTAACACAAAATGTGACTTACAGAGACTTGTGGACTAAATCTTTTAGACAGTTTCAAACACAATCTGAGATGTGAGATGTCACATTTTAAAAGGATCTTGCAGTGTTGCAAAATGTAGGTTAAAGTAGACTTTTACCTTGTAGACCGAACCTTTTTAGACAGTTTCTAAACCTGACTGGATTACCTGTGAGATTTCTTTTCACAGCTTCATGTTCGTCTCTCAGAGTCTGGAAACTTTGCTTGGTGTGCATGTTATCAAGAGCTGATTAAAAAAGAAAGCACAGGTCAAACACTGCATTGGTAAATCATCAGTGTTTGATGATAAATGTGTTTATTCCATAAATATGAACTAATTAAAATAAAGTTCGGGTTCCAAAAATAAAATGTATTTTTCATTTTAACTTCCAATCTAAAATCTCTCTGCACTGTAAAAACTCCAATTTATATTATTTGGCCTAAATTATCAGCATTCAAAGTAAAAGTTGAAGATGTGTTGTGAAGAAGTTGTGATTTATTAAAAAATTGAGTGACAACGTTCTGTTAACTTGTGTTCTTTAGTCGATGAATTAAGAAAAACTAAATCTCACTACATGTTTACTTTATTATTTGCACTTTAAAATCTCAATAATTATATGAAATAAACATTTTCTGTTATCAATAACTGTAATTAGATAAGTTTGTCAATGTCAAGTTTTAAGTGTTAACTTATAATCATGAGTTCAGTTCAATAAATGTCCAATCAATTGATTACTTAACTCATCATATTAAATAGTTTGAAACCTTATTTGCATGCGCTTCGCAGCATGCATTGCTTTAAGGTTCAAATTCTCCAGAAATCCTTTTTATATGAAAAAAGACACATGATGGAGATTTGTATCTCTCTTTTTATACATTTGTCTCAGAGGAGTCTAAAATGAAAACATTGCCAGCCATGATGGACACTTCCTGCACCCTTTCAGTATAAGATCCATTAATTTATGTGGTTAAACATAAACTCAGTATTTACTGTAACTGTCAGTAACACAGGAGGAGTTGTTACTGGGGATAATCGATAGTGCTACAGGCTCACTACGATCAACATTAGACTCTATCGCTCCTATAAAAGGAAATTATTAAAACATAGGAGACTAGCACCTTGGTACAACCACCAAACCCGCCAGTTAAAACAAATAGCTAGAAAATCTGAAAGGAAATGGCGCTCTTCCAAATTATCAGAATATCGCTCAATTTGGCAAGATAATCTTAAAACCTATAGAAAGGCCCTCCGTAATGCCAGAGGAGCCTATTACTCAGCACTAATAGAAGAAAATAAGAACAACCCTAGGTTCCTCTTCAGCACTGTAGCCAGGCTGACAGAGAGTCACAGCTTTATCGAGCCACATATCCCCATAAACTTAAGTAGCAATGACTTCATGAGCTTCTTCTATAATAAAATTATTACTATTAGAGAAAAAATTAATCACCAACTGCCATCAACAGTTATCAGTGGCTCTCCAAGTTCAGGGACTTCTGTCAATGTAAACTTAGATATATATTTAGACTGTTTTTCTGCTATCGATCTTCATCAGTTAACTTCAATCATTTCTTCATCGAAGCCATCAACCTGTCTATTAGACCCGATCCCAACTAGGCTGCTTAAAGAAGTTGTTCCCTTAATTGGCACTTCTTTACTGGATATGATTAATCTTTCTTTATTATCAGGATATGTACCACAGTCCTTTAAAGTAGCTGTAATTAAACCCCTTCTTAAAAAGTCCACTCTTGACCCAGGGGTTTTAGCTAACTATAGACCAATTTCTAACCTCCCCTTCCTCTCTAAGATTCTGGAGAAAGTAGTCGCCAAAGAGTTGTGTGACTTTCTACATAACAATAGTTTATTTGAGGATTTTCAGTCAGGATTTAGAGTTCATCATAGCACAGAGACAGCTCTGGTTAAAGTTAATAATGACCTTCTGACTGCTTCTGACAATGGACTTGTCTCTGTACTTGTATTATTAGATCTTAGTGCTGCATTTGACACCATTGACCATAATATTCTTTTACAGAGACTTGAGCATCAAATTGGCATTAAAGGAACTGCCCTAAGCTGGTTTAAGTCATACTTATCAGATCGTTCTCAGTTTGTACATGTTAACGATGAATCCTCCATAAATACTAAAGTTAGTCATGGAGTTCCACAAGGTTCTGTACTTGGACCAATACTATTTACTTTATATATGCTCCCTTTAGGCAACATTATTAGGAATCACTCCATTAACTTTCACTGTTATGCAGATGATACGCAGTTATATCTATCAATCAAACCCAATGAAATTAATCAATTATCTAAATTACAAACATGTCTTACGGACATAAAATCCTGGATGACCTGCAATTTTCTGATGTTAAACTCAGAAAAAAACGAAATTCTTGTTCTTGGCCCCAAAAACCTTAGAGACTCATTGTCTAAAGATATAGTCACTCTAGATGGCATTAACTTGGCCTCTAGCACCACTGTCATTAAAACGCTCCAATTAATTCAGAACGCCGCAGCACGAGTACTGACAGGAACTAGAAAAAAAAAAATCACATCTCTCCTGTACTAGCTTCTCTGCATTGGCTCCCTATAAAATGTAGAATTGAATTTAAAATCCTCCTCCTCACCTATAAAGCTCTTCATGGTCAGGCACCTTCATATCTTAAAGAGCTCATAGTACCCTATTACCCCACTAGAACACTACGTTCTCTGAATGCTGGGCTACTTGTGGTTCCTATAGTCTCTAAAAGTAGAACAGGAGCCAGAGCCTTCAGTTACCAAGCTCCTCTCCTGTGGAACCAGCTTCCAGTTGCGGTTCGGGAGGCAGACACCCTCACCACATTCAAGAGTAGGCTTAAGACATTCCTCTTTGATAAAGCTTATAGTTAGGGCTGGATCAGGTGAGTCCTGAACCATCCCTTAGTTATGCTGCTATAGGCCTAGACTATCGGGGGATTTCCCATGGTGCACTGAGCTCCTCTCTTCCTCTCTCTTTCTGCACTCATTCATGTCCCATTAATGCATGTTACTAACTCCACTTCTTCCCCGGAGTTCTTGTGCTTTCTCGTCTCGCAGGTTCTCATGGATCCTGGTGGAGCCTCCTGCCATGGTCCTGCTTGACTGCCATTGCCAATACTGTTGTTGCTGTGCACCTGTCTGTCTGTCTGTCTCTCTGCCTCTCTCTCTCTCTCTCTCTCTCTCTCTCTCTCTCTCTCTCTCTCACCCCAACTGGTCGAGACAGACGACCACCCACCTAGAGCCGGAGGATCTGTCCTAGGTTTCTGCCTTTTAACAGGCAGTTTTTCCTTGCCCTTGTCGCCAAGTGCTTGCTCATGGTGGTACTGTTGGGTCTCTGTAATTAATGTTAAAGAGTTCGGTCTAGACCTGCTCTATTTGAAAAGTGTCCTGAGATAACTTCTGTTATGAATTGGCGCTATACAAATACAATTGAATTGAAAAAAATTGAATTGAATTGATAAAAACTAAAGTAAAGTCAATATACATCAATCTACATGACAAACTTACAGAGACGGCAAATAACAATGACAGCAGCTGCCAGGAGAGCGCTGACAACCAGCAGGGCCACTCTCTCTGATCTGACCTTTGACCCTCCATTTGACCCTGAGTGTTGTTGGTAGGCTGGAGCTTCACCTGTTCAACAGGTAGAAGAGACAGAGATGGAAAACAGATGTGAGAACAGGTACAGATGTGTGCAGAGGGTGGACACAATAACATGAACACCCATACAGCTGTTCCAAAAGCCGAGAAATGAGTCAAATAAAATACTGCCCTATTAGTTTCTAAAACGGCTACCACAGCATTCTGCAGTGCCACGCAGTTCCCTCTGGTATGAGCCTAGTTGGTCAGGGGTTCATCCCACAGCAAAGATAATGACCTAAAACATTAGGAAAAGAGAACAAGACGGTAAGTTTGAAAACATGGAGTAGCCAGCACAGTCACCAGACTTAAACCCCATTGAGCTGGTTTGGGATGAACTGGACAGAAGAGTGAAAGCAAAGCAACCTACAAGTGTCACACATTTATAGGAACTTGTGCAACAGAGTTGGGAAGAACTTTCTGAATAATATTTGATTTCCATTGTAGAAATAATGCCACGAGTGTGTTCAGCTGTTATATCTGCCAAAGGTGGCGACTTTGATGAGTCAAACGTTTAGAATACATTTTGGTTTATAAATTGATTCCATGATTTCTTTTTTTGATTTAAATTGTTTATTTGTTCCATGCTTTCATTTCAGAGTACAATGAGACATTGAACTGCATGAATTTCAATAAAAACTTGGAAATATCTGGGTGTCTTCTGACCGTTAGTGTAGGTATTTATATTTAAATTGTTGTTGTGTTGTCAGACAACAGGAAATGTATCGAGATTTCCTGTTGGTCTAATGCAGCAGCAGCACTCTGCACTGTCAGAGACCAACGACAGTGTGGGAAAGTATCAGAGCAGCAAGTGAAGCAGGCGGCTGTGAAATGTTTCAAAAATAACACCAGTACAGTTGGATGTTTTCTATTGAAAATCTAGCCTACGAATAATCTGAATGTTGGTCATTTAGGTAACAAATACCTCATTCACAAATAGACACAATGGATGGATAAGAAGAACAGAAACTTGTCCTCCACATCTGCATTGTAGCAGATTGGTCAGGGGCCGTCACAAGATAAAGGCTCCTCCCCATCTTTGAGACCAAAGGGAAGTTGTTCTTTCTAAAAGAAGAAGTTGATGGTGTACATTGATGTTCAGATAAAACGGCTGAAAAGAGCAGGAAGAAAAATAATTGGTGAGTTTTTGATAAATATGTTGCTTTATGTATCAGTTTATTCTATCTATCTATCTATCTATCTATCTATCTATCTATCTATCTATCTATCTATCTATCTATCTATCTATCTATCTATCTAAGGGTGTGAAACCTTTCTAAAACATACCAAATACTTCCTAAAGCAGTTTTTATTTGTTCTAAATGGGAAACTTGATGTCCACAGTGACACAAATTATTTCTGCATTTTGGTTTTGTGCTTTTTGTCACAGAGAAAGTTTCCTCATCGACTGACAGCACTTAATCTGAAGTCAGCATCTGGAAATCTGACACAATGAGCCGTCCACAGGGCTACATAGAAGGTAATAACCAGTGAATGTAACTAAGTACATTTACTCAAGTACTGTACTTAAGAACAGTTGTTATTGCACTTTACTTTATCTTGTAATAACGACCAGTTCAAGAATATTCTGAGGTTTACTCAGAAGAGAAGAAAGTCCAGAGAATATATATAATATGTTGTATTATTTTAATGGATTTATATTTAACAATGTTGTCATATAGACAACAGGAAAAGTAGGTGTCAACGTTTCCTGTTGGTCTAATGCAGCAGCAGCACTCTGCACTGTCAGAGACCAACAACAGTGTGGAAAAGTAATCAGAGCAGCAAGTGAAGCAGGCGACCATGAAATGTACAAAAATAAAACAAGTTCATGTTCATCTTATTTATTTTTTTCTATTTAAAATCTCAACATTTTAAGATTTCTTTAAAATAATAAATAATAATAACTATAACTTGTAGAAGTACAGTATGCTACATCATCTGTCACTGTTTAACAACACATTGATTAATTAAAGCTCAATAATTAACACATTATATCTTGTTTAGTGTAAAAATGAAACACTGTGGTTTTACAGGGCGTTATGTCCCAGACTATTTCTTGGGCCGGAGGAGTAACTTCCTGGAGTCTTGTTGTCAGGATGAGGTTGCCAGGCAACCAGTGGAGACTCCAGGTAGTTACAGTGATAATTAGAGAGTTTTAAATGTGCTCATACATTCAAACAGAGCCAGGCTAGCAGTTTCCCCCTGTTTCCAGTCTTTATGCTAAGCTAAGCTAACAGGCTGCTGACACACGTGTCATGTGTTGAGTGATGTGTTGTGCTGCACTTAATAAAATGGTGTGATACTTGCTGCTCTTAATGTTTTGAGAACTGCAACAGTGATACAGAAAATGTCTTTAAGCAGTTAACAAACTTTAATTTTAAGTTTTAGAAACTAATAGGGCAGTATTTTATTTGACTCATTTCTCGGCTTTTGGAACACCTGTATGGGTGTTCATGTTATTGTGTCCACCCTCTGCACACATCTATTTTCCATCTCTGTCTCTTCTACCTGTTGAACAGGTGAAGCTCCAGCCTCCCAACAACACTCAGGGTCAAATGGAGGGTCAAAGGTCAGATCAGAGAGAGTGGCCCTGCTGGTTGTCAGCGCTCTCCTGGCAGCTGCTGTCATTGTTATTTGCCGTCTCTGTAAGTTTGTCATGTAGATTGATGTATATTGACTTTACTTTAGTTTTATCCCCAGTAACAACTCCTCCTGTGTTACTGACAGTTACAGTAAATACTGAGTTTATGTTTAACCACATAAATTAATGGCTCTTATACTGAAAGGGTGCAGGAAGTGTCCATCATGGCTGGCAATGTTTTCATTTTAGACTCCTCTGAGACAAATGTATAAAAAGACATAAAAGCCTCCATCATGTGTCTTTTTCACATAAAAAAGGATTTCTGGTTAATTTTAGCCTTAAAGCAATGCATGCTGGGAAGCGTTTTCAAATAATGTTTCAAACTATTTAATATTATGAGTTAAGTGATCAATTGATTGGACATTTATTGAACTGAACTCATGATTATGAGTTAACACTTAAAACTTGAAATTGACAAACTTTTAATTACAGTTATTGATAACAGAAAATGTTTATTTCATACAATTATTGAGATTTTAAAGTGCAAATGATGAAGTAAACATGTACTGAGATTTAGTTTTTCTTAATTCATCGACTAAAGAACACAAGTTAACAGAACTTTATCACTTAATTTTTTAATAAATCGCAACTTCTTCACAACACATCTTCAACTTTTACTTTGAATGCTGATAATTTAGGCCAAACAATATAAGTTGGAGTTTTTACATTGCAGAGAGATTTTACATTGGAACAAGTTAAAATGAAAAATCAGTTTAATTTTTGGAACCCAAACTTTATCTGAATTAGTTCATATTTCTGGAATAAACACATTTATTATCAAACACTGATGATTTACCAATGCAGTGTTTGACCTGTGCTTTCTTTTTTTAATCAGCTCTTGATAACATGCACACCAAGCAAAGTTTCCAGACTCTGAGAGACGAGCATGAAGCTGTGAAAAGAAATCTCACAGGTAATCCAGTCAGGTTTAGAAACTGTCTGAAAAGGTTCAGTCTACAAGTTAAAAGTCTACTCTAACCTACATTTTGCAACACTGCAAGATCCTTTTATAATGTGACATCTCACATCTCAGATTGTGTTTGAAACTATCTTAAAGATTTAGTCCACAAGTCTCTGCAAGTCTCATTTTGTGTTAAACTGGATTGTTTTCAGTTCTGACAGGTGGCCCCTGATATTGATCTGTTAATTATCAACTGACTGTACTGTGAAAGAGTTTCAGGTTCAGGTTCATAAATAAGAGACGATCCTGATGAAAGTGAAATTGTTTTTATAACAGAGAGACGCTGTGAAGTAAAATCATACAACACGGTGCAGCAAACCAGCCCACAACCTCCTGTAGTAAAAGAAAGTAAGTGATGGATTTTGTCTTTCTTCCATGTTTGCATCCTCTGATGATGATTAAAGAACCAGTAATGTAGTGACAGATACAAGAAGTCAGATTGGCAGTATATATACCTGTGAAGTAGAAAACTGTTGCCTCTGTCTGATTGTCTCAGCTGCTCTCAGATTCAAACTTGTTCATCTCAAAGTTCCTGCTGCTTCCAAATCACACAAATATAAACAGTGATCTGTTTCACCTGACTCAAGTCTTTGCTGTGATCTCTTCAAAGATGACCCGCGTCCAAAATGTGAACATGGCTGGGAGCAGTATGGAAGACAGTGTTATTATTTCTCCATCGATCTTTTAACCTGGAGTAAGAGCAGAGATGAATGCCGACAGAAAGGAGGAGATCTGGTTCAGATAGACAGCAGAGAGGAGCAGGTAAAACACACTGCTGCAGGTTCATGTAGCTCACTGGCTTTATTCTCATTTGTTTTATCACATCCTTGTGTTTCCATATTAGTTAACATGGTCTCTCAGCACAGAAAAGTCATGTTACATATTATGTTCTTCATCAACATTTCCTGTCCAGACATTCCTGGAGCTAAAACTGAGAGAAAAAAATAACTTTGAATGGGACGTGTTCTGGATCGGACTGACAGACTCAGAGAAAGAGGGCACATGGTTGTGGGTAGACGGCTCACCACTGAACGAGAGGTTTGACTGTTATAAAGATATTTTTTGTCAGTTTCGAAAATCAAAGTTATCTGTTTTATTGAACCATTTTCTTTCTGTTCTCTAACTCTTAGTTTGACATTTTGGTTCCTCGGTGAGCCAGATAACTGGACAGGGAATGATCCTGATGGAGCGGACTGTGTGAGGATGGGAAAGAAAGCAGGAGCTCCCGATATGAAACGTTGGTTTGATGAATCCTGCAAATATACTTACAGAAGTATTTGTGAGAAACCAGCAGAAACTAGACATTTTACTCTTCACTGTGTCTGAAATGTAGTTTAAATGAAGTCTCAGCCTGTTAAACAATCTCAGTACAGGATACAGAATTTGGAGCAGTTTTATTTTTATATATGTAATGTTAAAATAAATGAATAAATAAGGAAAATATTAAAATGCAGTTTGTTTAATGTGCCCAACAATACTATTATATATTATATGATCAAACTATAGTTACTCATGTATTAATGGAAAAGCAGCTTTTTACTGACATACTTTGTTGAGGTGGAGCTTATTTCGAACTGTTATATATCATATTATTATATTAATTACTGTCCATATATATGGTTATTTTCACAATTCAATGTTTTTACATGAAAAATGACTTAAACCTTTATCACCAGTTTATTTTCTGTTAATCGACTAATCATTTCTGCTGTACTTGTATACTGTTGGGTAGTAACATTAAAAATAAAACACAATATTTTATAAAGTCTCTGTATCTTTATATGATATAAACTCTCCTGTTGTAAAGTAACTAGTAACTAAAGCTCTCAAACATTTATTTACAACAAGTTTTATCTCCAATCCAACATCTACGGTTCATAAATACAATAAAAACTGTTTGCTTTAGTAGATGGAAGAATAATAAAATGTTTAAATAAATTAGAGTTTATTGAAACTAAACAGCAG